TTGGGATTGGTCTGTCCATAACCATGGCTGAGGTCACCAAGGTAGTTAAAAAGCTCTGTGGCGGCAGAGCTCCGGGGGTGGATGAAATTCACACTGATTTCCTTAAGGCTCTGGATGTTGTGGGGCTGTCTGGGTTGACACACCTTTGCAACATGGCGTGGACATCAGGGACAGTGCCGCTGGATTGGCAGACTGGGGTGGTGGTTAGCCTCTTCAAAAAGGGGGACCGGAGGGTGTGCTCCAATTATAGGGGCATCGCTCACCTTAGCCTCCCTAGTAAGATCTTTTCAGGGATACTACAGAAGTGAGTCAGATCATTGGTCAAACCTCAGATCTAGGAGGAACAATGTGGTTTCTGTCCTGGCTGTGGAACACTGGACCAGCTCTTTACCTTCACTAGGGTCCTCAAGGGATCATGGGAGTTCGCCTATCCAGTCTGCATGTGTTTTGTGAACTTGGAGAGGGCATTTGACTGTGTTCCTTGAGGTACATTGTGGGAGGTGCTCCGTGAGTATGGGAATGGGGGCCTGTTGCTATGAGCTGTTCGGTCCCTATACAAGCGGTGTGAGAGTTTGGTTCACATTGCCGGTAGTAAGTGGGACACCTTCAATGTGGCAGTTGGACTCCGCCAGGGATGCCCGTTGTCACCAATTCTGTTCATAACTTTTATGGACAGAATTTCTCGGTGCAGCCAGGGGACAGAGGGATTCCGGTTTAGTGTCCTCAGGATTCCATCTCTGCTCTTTGCAGATGATGTGGTTCTGTTGGCGTCATTGTACCGTGATTTGCAGCTCTCACTGTAGTGGTTCTCAGCCGAGTGTGAAGCGGCTGGGATGAGAATCAGCACCTCCCAATCTGAGGCCATGGTCCTCAGTCGTAAAAGAGTGGATTGCTGTCTTTGGGTCGAGGGTGAGGTTCTGTCTCAAGTGGAGGAGTTCAAGTTCACGAGTGTGGGAAGAATGGAGGGTGAGATTAACAGAAGGATTAGTGCAGCGTTTGCAATTTGTGGCCTCTGTGCCAGTCCCTTGTGGTGAAGAGGGAGGGGAGCTTTAAGGCAAAGCTCTCTGTTTATCAGTCGGTCTATGTACCTACACTCACCTATTGGTCATGAACTCTGGGTAGTGACCATAGAGATCATGGATACAGGCGGTTGAAATGAGTTTCCTCTACAGGGTAGCTGGACTCTCCCTTGAAGATAGGGTGAGAAGTTTAGTTATATGGGAGAGACTCAGAGTAGAACCACTGCTCCTCCCCATTGAAAAGGAGCCAGCTGAGGTAGATCGGGCATCTGGTAAGGATGCTTCCTGGGCACCTCCCTAAAGAGGTGTTTTGAGCATGTCCGACTTGGAGGAGACCATTGGGAAAACCCAGGACAAGCTGGAGAGACTGTCTTTCAGTTGGCCTTGGAGTCCTCCCAGAAGAGCTGGAAGAGGTGGCTGTGGAAAGAGATGTCTGGACCTCCTTGCTCAAACTGCTGCCCCACAAACTAACTTCAGAATAAGCAGAAGATAATGGATGGATGAATGGTTCTGTTCTGGACAGCACTGCTTGGGATCAGGAACACCTCCATTAATCATTGTCTATATTCACAGTTCACTATTTACAAATGTTTAAAGCTTTGTTATGTAAGGGAGTTCTGAACTTCATCCAGAAAGACCACTGTCTTCTCTGGTCCAAAGCTTGTAACAACCTGCCCCTACTGTTGCGATGATAGGGGGATTAATTACATAACGCTAAATACGTCACGGGCAGTGTCTGAAGCTGACGGTGCTTAAAACTTATAATGGTTGAGAAGAAAGCATAACCTAATAAACAGAAAATAATTCACCCCACATGCAAAAAAAAAAGCTCTCATAAACAACTGATGATATTGGCCACGCAGGCTAACATTTAATGCCCTTTACACAATTTAAACAAACACATCAGTTGTGCACATAAACAACCCGAACGCTTCATTCCCCCCCAACATTTACATATCTGCAGACAAACCCCATAAATCAAAAACCAAGCTGCACCAACTTTCAGTCCGAATGTTCTCTTAGAAGGAAAGTTTGTTTCAAGTGGGATGAGGGAAACGCCCACTCAATCCATCCAGGCGTCGGCGCGCCGAAATAAAAAGAAGTGATCTCACCAGAAACTCAAGGTCCATTTAGCGTGCCTCCCCTGCAGTCCTGGGTAAGAAAAAGTTACTGATCCCCCGCGATCCCAACTCAGGGTGATAAACGGTCCACAGGCAGTCCAGGACAATGGCCTCACGCCAAATCCTCCTCGGCAGGTGCGCACTCCAAGGCAAGAGAGCCAACGCCGTCACTTCCTCCTCCTTTTAAGCTCTCTTCCCCAAAACGTACTTATGGTGACATTATTTACATGAACGCTCCTACAAGAACCCTGCAGATGTTGGATGCTGTCTATCATGGTGCACTAAGATTCATAACTGGCTGTGATTATCGTACCCACCACTGCACACTGTATTCACTGGTTAACTGGACATCATTAACTTCACGCAGACTCTCTCACTGGTACATTTTCATCTTTAAATCACTTCTTAGTCTGTTGCCTTCATACATCTCCTCCTACATGTCTCTGCGTGAGTGCAGCTACGGAGTGCACTCTCAGGACATTATTACCTGCAGTGTTCCCTCAATGAGGACTGAACTAGGCAAAAGGGCCTTCTCCTATTCCGCTCCTGTTTCCTGGAATATCTTACAAAAAGATTTGAAGCTCTTGACCTTGACCTCTCTAAGTGTCTTTAAGAATCTGTTGGACACCTGGCAGGGTCCAATGCTGACATGTTCCTGTTTTTAGTTTTCTACATTTGCCTTAGAATCTAGCTGTTTTTTTTTTTTGTTTTTGTTTGTTTTGTTACCTTTTCCTTTTAGCCATCCTATTTGTTAAAAAAAAAATAATCCTGCAGTATGACTTTTTATAACTGTTTATTGTTGTTGCTGTTGTCCATTGTTGTCATCTTTCTTTGTTGAAATCAGGTCTCTCTTGTAAATGAGTCCTCGAGGCTTAATGGGATTTACCTGTATAAATAAAGGTTGATTGATTGATTGATTAAACCACATCATGCATCAATTACATCAACATGGCTTTATTGTAAATGGTAAATGGACTGTACTTATATAGCACCTTTCTATCTTATTTCAAGATACTCAAAGCGCTTAATACTACAATCTGTGTCCTCATTTACCCATTCATACAGCACTCTGCTAGATTTCTACAAAGCTAATTGAACAAATCATTCTAATGAGACTAATCAGTGCTTTAGGTCACATTCATACACTGATGGGACACACATCAAAGGCTATGAGGGGTTCAGTGTCTTGCTCAGGGACACTTCAGCATGTGACTGCTGGTGGATTCGAACCCCCAACTATCACATTGGAGGACGACTGCTCTAGCCACTCAGCCACCCCTTATAGTAGAAGAGTCCAGGAGCTGAACAGTCCAGACCTCTCACTAACTCAAAACATTTGGTGCATCGTGAAACAAAAAATCCAGCAAATAAGACCTAGGTCTGTTGAGCAGCTAGAATCCTCCATCAGAGAAGAATGACACAACATTTCTCTCCAAACCCTCCATCAGCTGCTCTCCTCACTTCCTACATGTTGTTAAAGGAAGACGTGAGGCTTCCTTGGGGAAACATGGACCTGACACCAACAAAAATGGTTAAATCATGTCTTCTGGACCCTTTTCTTTAGACTGATGAAGTCCTGAAACATCTCTTAACTTAAAGAAACTGGTCAGAATACTTTCTGGGTGGAGTTTGCATGTTCTCTCCGTGCATGCGTGGGTTTTCTCCGGGTACTCCTGTTTCCTCCCACAGACCAAAAACATGCATGTTAGGCTGATTGGTAACTCTAAATTGTCCCTAGGTGTGAGTGAGAGAGTGAATGGTTGTTTGTGTCGTTTGTCTCTATGTGGCCCTGTGATGGACTTGCAACCCGTCCAGGGTGTACCCCGCCCCTCGCACAGTGATTGCTGGACATGGGCACCGGCGACCCCCGTGACCCAAAATGGAATAAGCGGGTAAAGATAATGGATGGATGGATGGATGGGTGTTGTCACCAAGTTCAAAATTATTTTGTTTTATCCTAAAAGTTGCACATTTTCTTAATGTTAACATATGATTTGATGCTTCATGGTGAATTTGCTCACTGGTCAGTGTCGTGGTCGTGAGGCTGTGAGTTTGAGCCCATTTTGCATCAGGAAGTCCATCCAGCCTAAAACTATTGCCAAATCATTGGTGAGTTCCCTCACTGTGACCCTTGCAGAAGGGAGCAGCTGAAAGAACAACAGCTATGTTTCATTGTGAATAAAATATGAGTGTATTCAATTCAGTTTATTTATGTGTGGGGGTGGCTGTGGTTGAGTGGTTAGAGCAGTTGTCCTCCAATGCGAGAGTTGGGGGGTTCAAATCCACCAGCAGTCACATGCCAAAGTGTCCCTGGGCAAGACACTGAAGCCCCTTATAGCCTCTGATGTGTGTCCCATCGGTGTTTGAATGTGATAAAGCTCTGATTACTATCTTTAGAATGATTTGTTCAATTAGCTTTGTAGAGATATAGTAGAGTGCTGTGTGGATGGGTAAATGAGGACACACATTGTAGTGTAAAGCACTTTGAGTATCTTGAAATAAGATAGAAAGGCGCTCTATAAATGCAGTCCATTTACCATATAGTGCCAAATCACAACAAAGTTGTCTCAGGGCACTTTACAGGAACATTCACATACATAAAAGCCAATTAGTAAAGTTCTCTACCTAAGGAATCCAGCAGACAAGTTGAATCTTGGCTTTGTTGCAGTCTCCCATCCTGAGCACGCACAGTGGCAACAGTGGAAAGGAAAAACTCCCTTTTAAAAGGAAGAAACCTCCAGCAGAACCAGGCTCAGGACAAGCGGCCAGTGTATGAGTGTATGAGATTTTAAAAAGTGCTTTGTCATTTAAAGTTTACACAATGTCCTAACTTGTCAGAACTGAGGTGTATATTGAATAGATCCAACCATTGTCATCGTTCAGGTGGTCATTCTGCTCTACATGGCTGGGCTGATGGTGCGCTGTCTGTGGCGACGGTGCTTGGATCCAGACAACTACTCCATCCCTTACCTCACTGCTTTAGGGGACCTGCTGGGGACCGGCTTCTTGGCCCTGAGCTTCAGACTAGTCTTGATGTTCAGATCTAGTGGGTTTGACATGTACAGTATGTGAACCTGCACACCCACAGTGTACATTTACATAAAGGCAATAATTAAAACTCATTACTGAACTTTCTGGAGTTGAGAAGGAAGGCGATAATGTAGAAAGACTGGATGTTCATTCTGTTTGGTTTTTCTTCATGCTGCTCTTAAACAGAAATATATTTTTTACAATCAGATAATTATAGTTTTTGAATGAATTTTTAGTTTGTAGAAATAAACTGAATGTAAAATGGTTTAATATTTTGTCTATCCTATTTAAATGCATTTGTATGCTTAATTCACTTAAAATATGGAAATTAGAGAAAACCCAGCAATATAAATTTGTCAAAAATAATACACTCATTCTTTTACTTATTGGGAAAAATTAGATTTACTAAAGGAGGTTGTTAAAACTCCACTCTGCAGATATGAATGCATAATACAAGTTGGTGATAGCATCTGATAGGATCTATATATTAATAAAAACAGGGTTAAATTTATAATTTTGGTTTTGTTACACGTAAACAGAAAATCTGTTTTTAGCTTTGAAAAAAAATCACATTTTCAGCTTGGGTTATAAAATAGTGGGCAACATTCTGACTATAATTATAATTTACAACAACCTGCCATAATCAAAGCGCTGATTATACAATAACTAATAAATAATGTTTGACATTTTTATGTTGTCTGTATCATTTATTGAAATTTTTTTTTTTTTTTTTTTACTTTTATTGCCAAACAAGAACAAAGCAAATCACATACAAACTGTTTAGTCTCGAGACTGGGCCATCTCTTCAACAGCAGAAACAAAACCACAATATACACTTGTCATTGTATTGTCAAATTAAAACAAAAATAAAAAAACAACAAGAGAGCCTTATTTAAGAAAGTCCACAATAGGTCCCTACACCCTTTCAAAACTCTGAGTTTTAAATTGAAGTTGAGCTGTTAATTGTTCCATTATGTAAACATTTCTTATTTTTGAATTCCACTGATCAATAGTTGGTGGGTCGGATTTCATCCAATTGACCGTGATCTTTTTTCTTGCCATCATGAGGAGAATATGTATCAGAGATCTTTGGTCATTGGTGAGATGATCAGGGAACTCATCAAATGAAAAGATGAAAGGGTCAAAAGGGATTTGTATCTTCAAAAACCTTTCCAACACATCCCTGACACCTTTCCAGAAGTCCTGTACCTGAGGGCAGTCCCAAAATATGTGAGTGTGGTCACCCACAAGACCACATTTTCTTCAACAGTCACCATTATTGTCATGCCCAGAGAGAAAAGTCTTAAGTGGAGTTTGAAAAAATCTGATTTTGCATTTCCAATCAAACTCTTTCCAGAGTTGGCACCCGATTCCCCTGTGGCAACCAAAACAAATATTCTCTCAAGAATCATCCAAAATGACATTTAGTTCCATTTCCCATTGTTTAATGTGTTGAGTGTTGTCTGATACATCTATCACCAGTTTTTTATACATCAAAGAGACCTGTTTTTTCAATGTTCCAGAGTTTTCGATTAAACTAATTAAGTCGAAAAAAGTTCAATCTGGTCCTCTGGACATTCAAAAAAAACAAAACAAAGCAAAAAAATATAGAAACGTTTCGTCTCTCATCCAAGAGACTTCCTCAGTCTGAGGTGCTGTTTTCAGCTCAGTCTCTTAAATAGCACCTTCTCAGAGTGGATCAACCAGTTTGCTGCTGACAACCAAAACCAGCTGATCACATGCTCAAGAAGGACCATCA